GCTTTCCCTCCATCCCCCACCTGCAACAGTAACTTGCTCCAGGCTTGAGGACACATATGTCAAACACAAGGCCTGCAGGCCAAATCCTTGATAGCATGTGAGTTGGTTAACAGCACTGTTAAGGAAAAGATTCTTCCACTCATTTTAAATTCACATTTCTGGTTAACATTGTCAGTTTATGACTGTTCAGTAAACCATTCGGCCCGCGATTTAGGCTGGATTTTAGATTTTGGCCCCTTCTCTGATTGAGTTTGACACCCCTAGTCTAGGAGATCCTGCAATGCGTCTGCCACCAGAACAACAATTCCCAGCATTCCTGGTGCTCCCCGCGCTCTAGGCTTCCACTTCCTGTCCAGGGGCTACCACCAGAATTATAATTCCCAACATTCCTGGTGCTTCCCATGCTCTTGGATTTTGCTTCTGGTCCAGGGGCTGCACAAATGAAAAAGATTGCGAACTCCAGCTGTCCATAGGCCAGGCTAGTATGACCGGACACTTCAGTGGTGTCCCCAGGACCTTGGCCACTCAGCACAGGTGTGCACGTGTGCTGGCCACAAACTTGAAGTGGTCAGGGTCCTGGAGACGCCCACCCTACCCCAGCTGCTGGGTTGGAGGGGCAGGAACGCCTACCACGTTGCTACAGCGATGGTGTGGCATCCCGCCCCACTCCTGGCCACTGGTGCCTGCATACCTCCATGACACCCACAGGTCAGCCATCTTCATTGGGTTAATTTGCATACTCGCTCCTGATCTGTGGGCATTGTGGAGGTATGGTCAATTTACATATTAGTCTGTTATTAGTGTAGATAGTTTTGCTGGGTAAATTAATCTTGGTTGTGGGTCCTTGATTTTTATCACTTGAGTATTTTTTGCCAGTCCCTTCTGGCTTGCAAGTTACTGTTGAGAAATCAGCTGACAGTCTTATAGGTGTTCCCTCATAGATAACAAACTGCATTTTTCTTGGTGCTTTTAAAATTCTCTTTGTCTTTAACCTTTGGCTTTTTTAAAAATTTTTTTTATATGTCTTGGTATGGGCCTCTTTGGGTCCATCTTGTTTGGGAATCTAGATATTCTGGACTTGTATGTCTATTTCCTTCACCGAGTTAGGGAAGTTTTCTGTTATTTTTTCAAATGGGATTTCAACTATTTGCTCTTTCTCTTGTCTTTCTCACACCCCCCATGATGCTAGTGTTGGCATGCTGAAATTGTCCCAGAGGCCCCTTACACTATCCTCATTTTTGTAGATTCTTTTCTCTTTTTGTTCTCATTTTTTTTTCCTACTTCCCTATCTTACCAATCTCTGATTTGATCCTCTGCTTCATCTACTCCACTGTTTAATTCCATTTAATGTATTCTTCATTTCAGTTAATGTATTCATTTCTGACTTTTTTTTTTTTTTTTAATGTTTTCTCTTTTTGTTGAAGTTCTAAGTTCATTAACTCTTCCTCTAAGTTCATTGAACATCCTTTCGACCAATGTTTTGAACTCTACATCTAGTACATTGCTTGTCTCTATTTTGTTTAGTTCTTTTTCTGGAGTTTTCTTCTGTTCTTTCATTTGGATTATGTTTCTTTGTCTCCTCCTCTTGGCTGCCTCCCTGTGTTTGTTTCTACTAGTATGCATTAGGTAAAGCTGGTACATATCACAGGCTTGGTAGAGTGGCCTTCTGTAGTCAGTGTTCTGTTGGGTCCAGTGGCACAGCCTCCCTAATCACTCAAGCTGAGCACTCGAGGTGTGCCCCCGGTGTGGGCTATGTACATACACCTTCTTGTAGTTGAGCCTTGATTGCTATTGGCATGTCATTGGAAGGGATTTACCCCCATGGTGATCAGCTGCTAGGACTGGCTGTGACCACTGTGGAGGACAGTTGGGCTCTGGTGCTTACTGAGTGCACCCCTTGAGTGTGTTGCTTGTGGAGGTGGTTGGGTAGTGGGGCTTCCATGTATATAGTCTGAAGCTGTCCACTAGGTGTGCTGGCTCGGCCAACCTTAATTTTTAACCTTTCTTTCTCAGTAACAAATAAAATGTTTCTCTTGTAATCAGCACATGACTTGGATGGGGAGGGAGAAGGGATAGCAGAATGTTATTTTTAAAAAGAATGTTTCTCTTAAAAGCAGCACATGACTGGTGCAGGGGAGGGAGAAAGGAATGCAGAAGACAATGACGATAAGAAACTGAAGGTGGTGCCTGTGTGTTTGGTAGAGAATTCAAACTGTTCACATAACCAGTATCTTGATTTTATCCCTTGCATCTTGTGTTCTGTTGATCATTTATTGTACTTGGATGTTATTTTTCCCTGATTGCTGTTATCTTGTTTAGGTTTCTCTTCATTCTTTTTCCCCACCTGGCTGAAGGAGGATTCAGATTTGGTTATGAATTAAGAGAGTTGCTTACCTCTCTTCAGAAGTTGGAGGGTTAGTGTCTGTTCCGTGAGGTTGTACAGGCACCACACTCCCTATGCCAAGTTGCTCCCAGCGTCCTGTAGGGCTATGGTTTTCAAACTTGAGTTCATATAAGAACATCCTGGGAGGTTTATTAAAACACAGATTCCTGGACCCCACTCCCAAAGGTTCTGAGGTGGGAGGTCTGTGGTGGGTCCTGAAAATATCCTAACAGGTGTCCAAGTTGTGCTGATCCCGCCAGTCTGGAGACCAGACGTTGGGTTGCCTTGCTCTTCCTCATTTGCAGCACTTCCCTTACCTGCCCGAACCAGGACAGCTGACCTTCCCATCTACCTGACAGGCCTGCCTGGCTGCTAGGGAGACTCAACACAGTCTTTATTTGGGGCTGCCTCAGTACAGCTAGTGTTCTGTGTAGAAGGAAGAGGGGACAGATGGCGTTTGTGGAACACCACCCACTGCTGTCCTTAATTTGAAGCTACTACTGTGCTTGTCAGTGTTGCTATTGGCTAAGCCACTACTCCTCAGCTTAGGAAGTGGGATGGTGGGTGTCTCCTGCAGTGATGAGCCAGCAGGCAGTGGGAGTCCTGCAGCCTCCAGTCCTGCGACTGGTGAAGAAACGGGCAGCTGCTGATGGGCCGCCTCCCACTAGTCAGGTCTGGCAGCCACACATTCTGCCACTGCAGCCAATGTCCGCTTTTATAGGCCCCACAGCATGGGAGAGGGCTCCACGACCCCCAGCCTTGGGGTGCAGAGGATCTTACTGTGCTCCTCCCGCCACCCAAGCTCCCCCAACTTCAGGTATTACACATAGGTGACTGGGAGAGCTTGGGGGCAGAGACCATTTGAACCCTGAACTGAGCTGGGGCCAGTGGTTTCTGCAGTTCCTGGTACCCCAGTGGCTGCCAACCCTGCTGTCAGCAGCTGCTAAGTCTTAGGGAGGTGAACTTGGGGGGAAACGATGTCAATGACTTTCCTGGAGCAGATGGCACCTCCTGGGTGGCTCGGTTCTGTGGGTTTATTTGGGAGGCAGCAGAGTCACTTTCTCATCCTGCCCTTCCCAGGGCACAGGCTTTACATTTCCCAAGTCCAGTCTGCAGCCAGGAAGGTGGAGTGGAGCCCAGGAAGTGTGCTGAGTGGAGGGGAGCCAGCCTGGGTCATAGTGCCTCTGCCTGGAAGTGGAGAGACACGGTTCTGGAGTCTTTCCTGCCCCAGCCAGTCCTGGAACACTGGGCTGGACTCTGGGCCTGGGCTCCAGGCCTGGGCTCCCACCTGAGTAAAATGAGCCAGTGGAACCAAACGATTTCACGAAGCTCCTTCCAGCTCCAATGTTGTAGGATCCTTGAGTGACTGATGTTTTACTTCTGAGAGGTATCTTTCAGAACCTGCTTGCTCAAGTGCAGCCCCTTGGTCACACCTAGACACTGCCCCGTTGCCATGCTGTGCCCAGCCTTCTCCCGGCTGGGCAGCCCCAGGTGCCAACCCTTGGAGGGCAAGGTCTGAGGCACTGTCTGGCTAATGATTGACGTAGGCTCCGGCTATTCTTAGTTCCTGGCGTGTGGGTAGGGAGCTGACTGTTTAGCAGCTCCTCTGTGGGCTTTTTGTTCCCTGCGTGAGAGATACAGTCAGGGTCGGGGGAGTGCTGCCCTGGGGCTCCCTGGCTTGTTTCTGTGGCTCAATGGCATCCGTGACCCACACCTCAGTGGTGAGACAGAGCCCAATAAGGGCAGGGCACTGGGGCGCAGAGAGTAGGCCACCTACCCCCTTCTCAGCAGTTAGGGATGTTCATACACCCCTGAGGTCCTGCCTTGGCATGGGAGGGAGAGAGAACTGTCCTAGATGTGTCGTCTGCCCCCACAATTCCTGGAGCCTACATACCAGAAGCTCCGCCCAAAGAGGCCTTCAGAGCAGGTGCCACCCAGGATGTGGAAGAGATGAGTCAGGGTCCGCTGGTGTCTCGTTGGCGTGTGTTGGGCCTCACTGTGCCCAGCCCTGTGCCAGCCGGTGGCAGGAGGAGAGGCCTGTCCTGGACACTGTATCTCATTGGGAGGCCGAGGAAAAAGGAACCCTCGCCGGGGCACAAGTCTGACCCTTGCTTGTCAAGAATCACCTCTGAACCTTAGTTCCCTTGAGGTGATAATATCTTGTAGGAACATAGTCCTTATTTGGGGCTGCCATGTGCCCCAGAGTAATGAGGGGTGTATAATAAAGTGATGTATGTACTCATTGTAGGTATTGGAGAACAGGGCTGTCACTAGAACATTAGAGGCCTGGTGCACAAAATTCGTGCACTCAGGGTGGAGGGGAGGGGGGCCCCTCAGTCAGGCCTGCACCCTCTCCAATCCAGGACCCCTCTGAGAATGTCCAACTTTAACAGATGACAGCTCCATTGTTTGTTTCTTTTCATGCATAAACCCATTGGAATTAGCAGGTATTCAGTGTGTATATATTTTGGGGGGACACCTGTATATCTCTAGTCAGTGGTGAAAGGAACCAAAGGCAGGTTTGGAACCCCCCTAACCTCACTCACTCCCCGCATGTCTCCCACTCCACTTTCCACCTTCGCGGGCAGCGGGAGAATCAGAGTTTCCTCTCATTAACTCGGAAAAGCGTCCTGTCACTCGCTGCCCTGTCACCCGCTGCCAGGCAGGAGTGCGCTAGGCCCCCAGCGAGCGAGGCTCAGTCAGGGCAGCCTTGGCTCATGGGTGCTGGCACCCAAAGTGCACCTTCCTCATCTGCAGTCGCCCCGACTATCCAGGACTGACACCTTAAGAAAGGTATAGAGGAGACCGGAGGACAGAGCAAGTCGAGGGACTTTGATGCAAAATGCTGAGGAATCGGCTTGGTTGAGCTATGGACATGTCAGTGTTATGCCCAGACTTCGTGATCCCCAAGGACCACCAGGGAGCCAAGTCCGATGCAATAAACAAAAGAGCCTGTACCATGCTAGCAATGGGCTCCTCCCACTCATGCCGGCAGCATGGCGGAAGAGAGCGAATTTCTCCCGGTCCAGGCGTTTTGAGGGCTAGGGATAACTCCGCCCGGAGTTGGGAGCTCATCCTCGCCCTGCCCTGCCCTTTCATTCCCCCCTTGTCTAATGTGCCTAGTCAAATCATTGACTCAGCAGCCTACTTCCTTTCAGCATAAACAACAAATACAGTTATCAAGACCCTTAGTACCACAGTTCCCATCAGTATTGTCCTCACTGAAGTCCAGTTCCCCTCCTGCAGGCATCAGTTCTCCTCCTGGCCTGTAGTTGCCAGGATCCAGGCCATGCAGGAGCTGGGAGTCATGTAGTCAGGTCTGGGTGCCATCTACTTCAACAGCAGTGGGCGTGCTCAGGATAACAGTGCAGCATCCCTTTGAGTCCTTGGGCAGCAAATTTCTTTACCCACATTGAGTTCCAGGGCTACAGGGTCTGCGGTGGGCACTGGCAGTGCATCTGGAACAAGCAAACTGCAGAGCCTGTAAGGACTTGAGCAAGGAAATGGTTACCATACATGATCCCCTCCCAAAAAGGGGAAACTTGTCCCAATAAGGGGTACACCTGGCCCTCAAGAGGGCAAAGGACAGGGGGTTGGTCCAATTTTCACCGAATCTAAGACACATTTAGTTAAACCCCTTTTTCAAGAGTCTCGCCTGTCCTAAGGCTAGAGCTATGAGATACCTTAGCTACCAAGGGGAGGGCTGTTATCTGATAGTGGGGTATACCTCAACCTAATCTGAAGTGTCTATAAAAACTAGACCTTAATGCTGGTGGTTTAATCTCTGAAATCCACCTACCAATGCTCTCCTGGGGAGGTTCCCTGGGACCTGAATTCCCAGGGGGGATCCCCTTACCTTGCTTAGCATTTATCTGTGCACAGACAGTACTTCTAGCAACTCTGCCTCACAGAAGTTCAGAAGTCTTGGTGACACTTAACCTGGTGTCACCGGGCAACTCTGACCTAGAGCCTCTGGGACCAACAGTCTTGTCATCTGGAGGGTCCATCAACCATCTGGTCCTTCAGTGGCTTGCTTCTGGTCAGCCAATTCCTTCTGGCTGCAGTTGGTAACCCTCTTTTCTTTGTGGATGGCACAGTGTCTCTATCAAAGGGCCTGGATTAAGGCCAAAAGGTGTGGTCCAAGGTGACTACCACTGCCCCTGCATATCAGGTCCCATCCTGAACATAACTGCTCCCATCCGTGAACAGTACCTTGTCGTCTGTTACCTCTGTGCAGTCATGAATGGGTTCTATCATCATCATCTGGAAGCAGGCTGGCAGGGTTGATGGCCAGAGTTTTCTGAATCTGGACACAGGGCTGGTCCAGGAGAAAAGCCTGGCCCATCCAGGTTAGCTCCTGGTCCAGAGTCCACTTATCTGCCTCCTTCACCAACAATGCTATGGCTGCCACAGGGTCCAGTCTCTTAGACAGATAGGCAACAGGTCCCTTCCAGGGACCTAGAGTCTGAGTGAGAACCCCTTTGGCAATGCTTCTTACCTCACTCACGTAGGGGTGGAAGGGCTCCGCATCGTCCGGCAAGGCTAGGGCAGCTGCTGAGATGAGAGCCTTCTTTAGCTCCTCAAAGATCCGTTGTTCCACTTTGGACCAGTTCAACAGCTGCATTCCCCCAGTACGTGTTCCTTTCGAGGACCACAGTCCTTCTTGATGTCCAAGGAAAACAGGCAGTTTGTCCGGTGGCTTCCTGGGCTGATGTACGGGTCCTATTGGCTCTCTCAAGACTAAATAGGGTGCCCCCACGCCCATCAGGAAACTAAAAGGCTTGCCTCTCCTAGCTAACCTGTCAGGACATACTCTTTATAATTTCTATAAAAATCTTATCTTCCAAAAATACATAACCATGCCTCAAATGTTAAAGAAAAGGCAAGGGAGGAGGAAGCAGGTCCAGTACCTGTTCCCAGGCCTCTAACAGCCACCTGAAATGTAAAATGCCACATTTTCCCTACAGATAAAGATTTATCTACATTTCTAAGCCCCTCTACTCCCCACTGCAGAACATCGGTGAAAATTGTCCAAGCAGTTGCAGGGGGTTAAATCATACAAATAATTGTTTTCACATTGTTTTAACACAATTCTAAATAAATTATAAACCTTTGTGATGAAGTCTACTTAAACCTATAAAGTAGATACACATGACTGAAAACAAAAATGATTCCCAAAGTTTAAACAAAATACAAGATGCAGGTACAAGCCCAAATTCAACAACAATGGCATATGAGAAAAGCAAAACAAAACAAATCAAATATAAAAGTTTCATATGTTACATTAAACATTACTTTAGAAAAACTGACTTAAAAAAAATACTGCATCACTGACTTAAAATAATTTTTTAAGTGTAAGCATTACATACTTTTTCATCTGACAAATGAGAATAAATCAATCCTTGAGATCTTAGATCATTACTGCTTATTCTTAACATATATAATACAGTTTAGCCTGCCATATTCTAGGCATCTAGTTACTGCAATTAACTTTTCCTAATTCAACTTATACTTAAAGCTGGCAAGTCAAATAAATTTGGCATTTCTTAGATTAATAATATTACATTTCTATTATATCCTGCTTATTCAGGGTAAAGTTTCAGCAACAGATCTAACCATACAGTTTTTTCAGATCTCAAAATTTTTTTCTGAAGTTCAAACAAAGCACTGAATAATCTCTTTGTAGGAGAGCTAATAGTCTTGCGCTCTCCGGCCTCCCCTAGACCTCTCCACACCAGAGGCAGTTTACTAGGATTTAAGACAATGTCAGAAAATCATAGGTCAATCACAATTCATACTTAAGTAGCTATATGACTCTGCTTAGCTGATACCAATGACAAGGAAGACTAACCATTGTGGGCTGCTTCACCACCAATTACCTGCCACTCCCTGAAGCTGGAGCAGCATACAAATGCAAATGAACACATTCTTTACCTGAAGACTCCATCCCGGGGCGCCATGCCGCCCACAGATACCAAACTCAGACCTGGGAAAGGCTCACTTTCCGCAGGTGAGGCAACGGCTCACGCCATTCCTCTCCCCATATGAGGGTCCCTCTCGGGCCCTCCCGGGAGGTCAGAACGTCTTCTGATCCTCCTGCCCGTAGCCTTCATGGTGCGTCCACCAGGCGTCTTCGGGCACCAATTCCATGAGGGGTTTTATGTCCCTCCAGAGCGCGCACACACCTACCGCGGCCAGTCAGACTCTCCGGATCGGGTTTTCCCCAATGGTCCCGGGGATCCCGGACGAGCCCCCATCTGTTATGCCCAGACTTCGTGATCCCCAAGGACCACCAGGGAGCCGAGTCCGATGCAATAAACAAAAGAGCCTGTACCATGCTAGCAATGGGCTCCTCCCACTCATGCCGGCAGCATGGCGGAAGAGAGCGAATTTCTCCCGGTCCAGGCGTTTTGAGGGCTAGGGATAACTCCGCCCCCGCCCCGCCCTGCCCTTTCAGTCAGGACCTCCCTGGTAGAGGCCAGGGAACTCTGCTGCCTTCAGGTCGTTAGTCTTACCCTGGCCACCACCCTATCCCCCCATTTCATTCTGGGAGGACCTATGACAGACGGCCATATGGAGGTGGCAGGGCCCTGAGTGACATCTATTCCATTGACTACAGGTGCCTTCAGACACCACATAGGTGGGGACGGGGCAGCTGCAAAGCATCAGCATATTGCCCGTCTCCTATTTTTCCATCACAACAAAATTAAGTCAGAGAGTCCCTCTTGCAGCAGCACCCCTCCCACAGAGAAATAATTGTTTGTGAATTATAAAACCTTCACAGAACCCAGGTTCTGGGAAGCAGGATTAAGAACTCGGATTTCCACAGGCCCACTCACTTGAGAGGTGACATGCTGGCTGAGCCTTGGTTTGCTGGCAGAGAGAAGTTTCTAGACACTCCCCTCACCGCTCCCAGCTCCAAAGATCCTGTTTGCTGATTGTTAGCCTTATCTCCATTCTCCCTGGGAATGGCTCTGAGCAGAGGTCTTTGTGGGGTTTTCCTAAAACTGCTATCTTGCTTCCCTCCCCAGATAAGGAGCCTGAGCCTGGGCAGGCTGAGCCTTTGTTTTTCTCCCTCTGTCCCGGGAGTCTAGTCTGCAGGTGGTCTGACTGTGAAGCTAAGCAAAGTGAAGCTCCAGCTCAGACCCCTTGCCTTGCCTGCGGGCCTCCCAACGCCCTGCCCTGCGAGGGAAATAATAAAATTATGTGCTTTTGTAAAATTTAGCAAAAAGTGTTCTGTATTCATTTTCTTAAAGAGAGCCCTGTTAAATGGAGCCCAGACCACCCATGAGGCAGAGCCCCCTTACCCGGGAATTAACTCCAACTAGCCAATTGCGGAGTCTAATTACAAATTTTATTACAGATTTTATTACAGATTCGGAGCAGGCAGCAAACAGCAGCCCCTGCTTCCAAATCCAGCTGCTTATACATTTCAAAGAAAGGGGGTGGAGGTCGTAAAAAAGGGGGTTGGAGGTCGTTTCTATGGTTGCATGCATCCGCCAGATGGCCTAATCTCCCTTCTTGGTTTGTCCTGTCTGTTTAGCCTAAACTAACAGTCTGCTGATTTGGCCTTCAGGCTTATCTACCCCAGACTGTTTATTTGGCCTTCAGGCCCAGGAGGGGTTAGTAGCAACTTTCTACCCTCCAGGCAAAGTCAGTTATTTTCCATTCCTCAAGCCCCTAATATTGTACAGGCTCCTGGGCCCACGTAGCCTGTTGTTATTACTTTAAAATATATTTTATTGATTATTTACAGAGAAGAAGAGAGTTAGAAACATCGATGAGAGAGAGACATCCATCAGCTGCCTCTTGCACACCCCCTATTGGGGATGTGCCCGCAACCAAGGTACATGCCCTTGACCGGAATCGAATCCGGGACCTTTCAGTCTGCAGACCGACACTCTATCCACTGAGCCAAACCGGTTGGCCTATTATTATTATTTTTTAATGAGTAATTTACAGATATATTTTTAAGTTTGCTTCTCTGTTTTTAATAATTTTTTTTTTACAATAACAGAAGTAAACATGTCAGATACTTATATAGCACTTGCTTTATCACACATTGTTTTCACAAAAGATCTTTTTTTAAGACTAAAATTTATGGTTTATGTACTTATCAGATGAGTCTACGGTAGCTATGATGCTGGTCTTGACCGGCCATTGGCTGGCCTCCTGCCTTTTGGACAGTGAGCTCTTGGCTTGGGGGCAGGAGGTGAGGGTCCTGGGCAGTCCA